ATACTTGTTCATCGAAGGGCTGATCCTCTCATGTTCTCAATTTCTACTAAGCCAAAATCGAGATTAATCCTCTCCAGGAAGAGGTATTTATATTGCATGAGCTACATCACACCAAGGTCAGGGTCTACTTACCAGAGTACAACTAGAAGAAATTCCTAGAAAACATCAAGCAGTCTGCACCACAGCATCAAAGTTTCTTAAAATACTCGCTCTCTTTGCTCAATATCTGAGATTTTGAGAAAGGCTCTACCTGCATAGTGGATAGGAGTACCTACTCTAGATCCAGAATGCAAATGTTTCAATCCCAACTCTTTTACTTAGTAGCTGTAACCTAGTAAGTTAGGGAAGTTACCTAACTTGTAATTTTTTTCCCTATACAAATGAGAATATACTATTAATACGTACCTCGTATGGTTGCTATGAGGATTAAGTGAATTAATAACAACAAAGGGCTTAGGATAGTACCTAGCATGTGTTCAATTAATTTTAGCTATTATTATTATTCTAAAATATGGAATGTTCAACTTAAAAAGATATAATAGGTTTTTTATGAAAATAGAAGAAATAAGCTAATTTTTTTCTGTTATAATGAACAATTTCCTCTTTAGCCTACCAGCAAAAAACAATTACCCCAATCCCTACTCATACCTAAGTGTGGTTGACTTAATCCTCCCCTTTTGTATAACACTGATTCTATTCCTCACTTTAAAAAAAAAAAAAAAAAAAAACAGATTCAACTCCTAGGGAGTTAATGAGCTGAATCTATGTGCCAGTCACAGTACAAATGGACACACACATACAGACACACAGACACAAACACACAAACACACACACACACACACACACACACACTCTAATTCTCACCAAAAAAATCCTTCATGTTAGATATGTTAATCCTATTTTATAGATGAAAACACTGAGGTTCAGAGAGGTCAAATAGTTTAATCAAGGTTATACAGTTAGTAAGTGGCTAAACCACGAATGGAATCTATGTCTACTGATTTCACTCTCTTTCTATTACACATCATACTACTTGCTTACAATTTCCTTTTTCCCTTAACCCACCCACACATAACTTATAGCAGAGCAGAACCTAGAGGTGTTTCCTCACAGTTCACCCATTTGTTCTTGCAAAGCACATAGTTCTGCAACTTCCTATTTCTGTTCTTCTAGTCTCATGTAAATTTAACTTCCTTTCTGGTACTATAAATGCAGTGCTTAGAGTTATGTAGATTTAGAGCTCTCATGCCTTCCTTGTAAAGACTTCCTTTAAGTACAGGCTTTTAAATGACTTTTGTGATGTATTACTTCTTCTGACAAATCGCCTGACATTTAAAAATAATATTTTTTAAAATTAAAAACAATATCACTTTGAAGTAACCCATAGAAAATAAGTATGAATTTACCTTGAAAATTTAATATGCATACCCTTGAGGCCAAAGACAAACAAGAAACAGGGCAAGTAAAAGAAATAAAGTTGGAAGGAGCGTTAAGGAAAACTTACTGGAAGAGAGGTCAAGAAACTGAGAAACAAAGTATTGTTAGAATTATGTATAGATAATGCAATCATCCAGAATTATGAGAGGTGTAGTGACAGAGAGAGAACAGTGAGCCACGTGTAAGAAATAAGAGGTGGTGCCCAGGAGTGGGAACAGCAATAAGGAGGTGAAATAGCATAGTCTGTTCCCATAAGCTTCAAAGGTAGGTGGGGGGGGTTTTTTTTGGGGGGGGGGTTAGGAAGGAGGAAAGGAGAGCACTCTGAAAGCAGCAATGAGTAACAAGGGAGATATTTATTCAAACTCCACAAATCCAGAGGTAAAAGGAATCTGAGAGAGAAAACAGCCATTACTTGTACGGATTGCAGGGGAAGTAAGGTCCTTTCAAATTTCACCAAGAAGAAGATTGTAAAGGATTTGAGAAATCAACAAATTTTGACATTATGCAAATAATATATAATGTGCTACCTCATTAAAAAAAGAAACCTACTAAGCATAACAGAACCTAACAGGTACACATAGGAAATAGTCAAGGTAGAGAAGTGATGATGATGATGATGATGATACAGGTATCTTCCACCTCTTGCTTAGCATCAATCATCATCCATTACTGAAAACCAGATATTCTATTTGAGAACATATTTGAAGAACATATTTTCCAATATTTTAAATGAAAAATAAAATAAAATTCTTTACACATCAACCTAAAACAACTAAGTTCCTAAACTGTAACTAAAACACAATCAAGCACCTATACAAAAGTCACAAACTCCCATTTTAGGATGTAGAATGCTTAAAACATTACTTCCTGATAAGAAAACAATTCCTGTGATTGCTAACAGTGTCTATAAGCAGTAACATACTACATATCCTCTGTTGACTTCCATGAACCTTTCAAGTTGGCCACATGTCATTCTGACATTCTACCAATTATAGTGGGAATTTAACACAGACTACCCACACATTATTTTGTCTAAAATGTGGTATATGGCTTTACTGAGTTTCTGGGATATAAATACAAAATTTAACACAAACTTCTCACACATTATTTTTTTTAAAGTATGGTGTATGGCTTTACTGAGTTTCTGGGGCATAAATACAAATTTTTCTTATATAATCATCAGCCAAAACACATTAAATTGAGAGATAAGTAATTCTAGTATATTTGGCTGTTAAATACCAAGATTTTCTATTAGGAAAGACATTAACTGTGAAGTCATTATGTAGACTCTGCTTGCATATTACATTTATTCAACTGGATTGAATGACAAGGCTGTGTGTAAATTTAGGTGAGTAACTATAAAGTGTGTAAATTTAGGTAAGTTAACTATATCCTCTAAACATTAGAATTCTCATATTCAAAGTGGGAAAATAATAGTGTTCTCACAAGAGTTTTTGTGAAGATTAAATCAGATAATGTACATGAAAAGCGGTTAGCACAGTGCCCTACCACATAGTAGTACATGCTCAATAATTGGTTCCTGTTATTATTTTTATTACATGTCAAGCGATTGCAGCTGTCAGGGAAAAGATAAATGAGAAGTAATTTATAAAATAACTATAAAAACAGTAAGATATTAGCATAAATATTAGTATTACTGTTTTTTCCTCTTCTTCGGCTTCTAAAACTCTCTCTTAATCCTTTCCTTATTTCTCCTCTAATAAGGCAGTTGGCTTAGAAATAAACACTTTTCTCTTTCTCCGAAAGTTCTCAAGGCAAATACATTTGCAAAATTTTATTCTAAAGGAAGACATAGACATTCCATGAGATAGCAGCATAAACAAACTTACTGATATCTTGTCTTTTAAAATAGTAAGGAATGTGAAACTTCTGACTATGACTTGTATGGGCATGATTTGATGGTGGTAGTGGAGAGAGCAATGGTAAGCAACTACCATATTCTCAATCTCAAAGAACAGAGTGATTATCAGTTTTCTCATTATAGAAGCCATGTGGTGTGGTGGCTTAGGACACTGGACTTAGAATTGGAAGACCTAATTTGGAATTCCTTTTCTGCCACTTATTATCTTTGTGACCTAACAACCTACTTTTAAGGAGTTGCTGTGAGGATGAAGACAAAACATGGATTATTGCTGCATTTGAAATTATAAACTTCTTAATGAAGTTCACTTCTATATTTTTAACAGAATTACAATAAGATACAATATTGTACAATATGATTTATAAAGCATCTAAAATATCTATTGTTAAAGACCAAGTATAAAGTACGTTTTCTGCCAAGGAGCTAAAAGTTCCTTTAAAATATTCCCTTATTTAAACCAACAATATTTCTTTGAAATTAAAATAAATTGGAATTTATTAAGTGATGTGTGCTAGGCATTTTACATACATCGACTCATTTAAGCTTCACAACAGCCTTGAGAAGAAACTGAGCCTCAGTGAAATAAAATGACTTGCCCAAGACATACAGCTCTTAAGTGGCAACGGATCTTGGATTCATACCAAGGTTACATTGATTCCAAAGCTTCTGTTCTGTCCATTACATAACATTGTCTCTTTCAGTTTTTTTGACTTGGGGTCCAAAAAAACTAAGTGCCTCATAAAAGGTCAAAGAATAATTTTCATTGTTGTAGAAGGCAAATCCTCAGATAAATGGGCATTATTCCACTAGATTAAGTCATCTCCAAGTAACATGATATTTTAAAACTAATTTCCAGATAATTCCTGCTTAATCTAATTTTGGTCTAAAAAATATACTGGTAAATAGAGTGAAAGCAGTCTGTTTACCACTAGTTAAATAAATTAGGATATTCCCAAGTTTAAGCCTTAGATGTCCAAAGAAACAAATCTAGAATTTTTTTTTTCCTTTTTGTCTTTTTTACTGACCGGTAACGGGATCGCAACCCTCGGTGTTGCGCCCGCACCGCGCTCAGCCAGTGAGCGGGAACCGGTCTCCACATGGGATCCGAACCCTCGGCGGGAGCGCTGCCGCACTCCCAAGCGGCGCACTCTCCAGTGTGCCACTGGGCCGGCCCCAAATCTAGAATTTTGATGAGAAAAAATAAACCAAAGAACAGGGAGCGCCGCCGCACTCCCAAGCGGCGCACTCTCCAGTGCGCCACTGGGCCGGCCCCAAATCTAGAATTTTGATGAGAAAAAATAAACCAAAGAACAAGTTTCCTCGAACTCCAGTGGTATGTTAATAAACATAATAAAAACATTTCCACTGGAAATGCCTGAAAGCTAGCCCTTCCAGAAATCAGATTCCTTCCTCAATATTTTTTCCATGAAATTTAGAGAAACCATCATAAAGAAAAATTGGTGACCAAGGTGCTTTTGAAGAACTAAATCAGTAAATTAGAAGTTTTTAATCCTGACATTAAATATAACATATAAAGTGAAGGAATAAAAGTACATAAAATATTTTGTAAATCTATGACACTTCTCCTCCTTTATTTAAGCCAGTCTGGTCCTTGAGAGCAGGACCCTTTTACTTTCTTGCTAAAATAAAATGAACTTCACCTCTACCCTCTGTAGCTTACCTGTTGCAAAGCATGCTGAAGGCTCCATGTGGACTACAGATACACGGCAGACAGAGCCCAGATGTGTGATTCAGGTAAAAACCCTCCTTGCAGGTTTCACAGCGAAGTCCCTGATAACCTGGTTGACATTCACACTGCCCTGTACTCTGATTGCAGTGATTCACATTCAAGCTCCCAACCACAGAGCAGTTACATATATACTCTGAAAAGGAAAGAAGGAAAGAAACATTATCAACTAAGATTTAATGTCTTCTTAATAAAATAAATTCTATTTTATTTTTCTTAATAAATGTTCATGACAACTTTATAAGGATGATAAAATTACCTCTAGTTCAAATCTACTTTCTATCCTGCTTAGTTTATTTAAATTGGGAACTGTAAACAGTAGAGTACATAAAATTATGTACAGTTCATAATTATAAAGCTAACATTCTCAGTTTCCTTTCCAGTACTCTTCATTTCCTATCCTTCTTACCCTACACCCCAATTTGTGTGTGTCTGTATATTAATAGTTTTTCCAGATTGGAAGCCTCCAAAAGCAGGCTTACCTACATGGCACTGAGAGTACATACTAGAAATGACAACATGTTAAATAATAAATAATCTCATTGTTTGGCAGCAATAGCCTAAGGCTCAGATGGTTAACTCTGGTAACCTATTCAAGGTCACACAAGATTGTGCTGGAATCATAAGCTAATATGTTCTGCCCAGGAAGAAATTAATGGAGAATGGAAACTTTAAGGTGAGGAAATGATGAACAATAAATCCAGAGGAGACACTGTGCCGGCCAGCTGCCAAAATAAAACAAAACAAAATAAATAAGTAATAGATTGAGGGGAGAAAGTTTACAGGTTCATTCTGATAAATGAAAACCAATCACAATTTGGGAGTCTTTCCCAAATTAAAGATTTAGAAAATAAACATTTTCTTGAGGTACATTTCAAACAATTCTTTGGATGAAAATACTTAGAAGCCCTTAGTTTTAGCCTTCTAACGCAAGGACTCATTTAAAGGTCAGTTAGGATTTGGATTTTGCTACTGTTTCTATTCATTTTATCAGAGAAAGTATTTTCAACATAGTATGACATAGTACCAACATAGGACTTTGTAAGCCTGTGCAAAAACATGTATTAAATCAATTGCAGATAAAATAAAACTTTGTGTATATTCTGGATAGGCCACATTCCAAAATAGCTATGAACCTAGACTTGAGAGCCCAAAGCAATCTGAGGTACAAATTATACTTCTGTATAGGTAAGGCACTACATAAAATGGCATTATATTGATAAAAGTTTTACTTGGAAGAAAATCTTTACCGTTATTTATTTATTTATTTTTTTCCTTTTTGTCTTTTTTCGTGACCGGCAACGGATCGCAACCCTCAGTGTCGCGCCCGTACCGGACCGGGACCGGCAACGGGATCGCAACCCTCGGCGTTGCACCCTCACATCGCTCAGCCAGTGAGCGGCCGGTCTGTATGTGGGATCCAAACCCTCGGCAGGAGCGCCGCCGCGCTCTCAAGCGGCGCACTATAGCAGTGCGCCACCGGGCCGGCCCTTTACCGTTATTTTTAATTATTTCAAAAAAGTTGCCAGATAACTGCAAATACAGAGTCTTACACAGAAGGTTATAAAGTGGTTTGCTTATCTATTCTAGAAAAGGAAATTATGCTTCAAAATTCTTTACATAATCACAAGCAGCTTATCCACACAAGTCAAAACAAAAGACTCTAGAAAGAAATTCCCACTTGGCCAACTCTATATCTCTCAAACTTCTTCAGTTCCTAATCTTTGTATCAGTTTATTTCCCTGCTCTTCACACTTCTTCCAATTTGTAAACATGACAAGTGAATGAATATATACTGGTGGATGATTTGTTTATTTTATGTACATTTCAAGTTTGGGTATTGAGTTAGTTACAAAACCCAAAGAAGAGTTCATATTTCTCCAGCTCCAAATTTAGGGAAAGAATCAACTTCCCTTCATAGTAAAAATTCTTATTTTTACTAGGCTACATAAGAATGAATTTCTTTGACAGAGTTACATATTTTCACATGATATCTACTTTCTGGGTATGTATGTGTTGTGGTTTTTGTAAATAACAAAGCCATGTTCAGTAGCCTGTAAACCTGCCAATGACAACTTCATGGCAAGATCTTTACTCCACCAAAAATGACTAGTACTCTTAAAATAACATTTTTCTTCTGAAATCAGGCAGCAACTCAACATACATCCAACTCCTTCTGCTGGACCAATTTCATCACAAGTTAAAATAAACATATTATGCTGGTGGGGGCAGAACTTGCTCAAGAAAAAATGAAAAGACTGAAAAACTCTATAATATAGACTATGAATTTATTCTAATATTTCCTTACTGATGTATTACTATCAGAAATCTGAATCGGTGTTCCTAATGAATGAGTTAAGATTGGCAGTATTTTTTTTTAAGAACCCAATTAATCTAAAAACTCTGAGACAAAAATGCTCGGTATTTTTTTCAGTAAAGTTCTAATGGATAAACCTTTAGTGCTAACAAAGATCATTGGTTATTTATTATTTCTATAGAACCAATCCAATCTCTTCATTATACCCTGAACATACTCGTGTTAGTCCGATCTCTGATCTTTTGCTCATTCTGTGCACCTTGGAATGCTCTCTCTTCCCCATACACGCAAACCTATCCCCTATTTCAAGAATTGGCTGAAACTCATTTCTCCACAAACTCTATTGCCCCTACTGTAAATCCATAACAACACCTATCCCTGTAACTCCCATATGACAAAAATCTGAAGAGGCAGTAAAGTGAAGTAGTTATGAGCACAGACTGTAGAGGCTAAGGTTTAAACCCTGCTCTCTCAGTTTTTAACTTTATAACCCTAGCAAGCTAGTTAGCCTCCTGTGCCTTTATTTTCTCATCTGTAAACAGGGTATAATAGTAGTACCTGTAACACTCAGCCCCAATACCTATGCTGAAAGTGGTTTGGAGCACTGCAATAATTAATACAACAGCTGGAAAAAAGTGGAAAGTGATACCAGATAAAATAACGTAAACATAATTTGGCTGTTAGATTCATAGGTCACAGCTTTGTTATACCATGTAGACAAGATCTGAAAGCCTGGGAATGGGTTTATTACCATGGCAGCTTCGGACAATGTCTGGGAAACAGAATTAGTGTCCTGTTATGCGGAAATCCGAGTTGTTGGTCATCTAGGTATCCTAAATATACTGGATATCCTAAATATGCTGGATAAATATATTCTAAATGTACTCCATACATTACCAATATTTGTGTCTACAAATACAGAATACAGAAGGATTTAGGACATTTTTTCAAAGAGGATAAATAATGAGCATTTATTGATTATATACCCTTGACACTAATCATCCTAACGGTAGCAGGGTGAATGGCAAATATTTCAGCAAGAGAGACCACCCTAGTGCTAGGAAGGGGGCTGACACCTCAAGACAAAGATGCACTATCATGTTAATACTTATCTCCAAAATAACCAAAGGAAAGGAAGATAGTGCAAAGCACACCAAGTGTCAGAAAACATGTGCATCTTTTCTGCTTATAGCTCAGAATCCGAGGCCTTATCCCAATGATTGACCTCAAATGAAATGACCAAGTTAAAAGAATAGTATGAGCAACTGTGATAAATGCAAAACACTGTGAGCATTCATTAAATTATGTCAGGATAATTTGTTATCTTGTAAATAGAGTGAAATCTTAGACCCTTCACAGTTCTAGATATTCATGTGGAACAAGATAGGAGTTAATGCAGAAATAATGCAATCCCCTTAGAGGAGGTTGGAAATATGAAAAAAGAGAAAGGAAATTTCAATTGACAGAAGGAATGGAAAGGATCTATAGTCAAAGACAAGAGAGGAAATGCTGACTTTTTAATGAAGTAGAATCTTAGACATCAGAGCAGCACAAAGGAGTCTGCAGCAAGATTAATGGTAAGTCACTAGCGTGGATATTAATGGGAATGAAACAATATGAAGTGGACACCAAAAGCTAATCATAGACAAGTGTGAATGAAATGCCAAAAAGCTCATTCAGTTGCCTAACAGTAAATACGGAATAAACTCTTAATCATATGAGTAGCAGGTTTCCTTTCAATGTCCTATAATTCTTGGGAAAACTCTACAGAAAAACAATTAGAGAATAATTAGAGAAGAAATAAATAATGCAGACACTTTGGAAAATAGTTTGATAGTTTCTTATATGTTAAATATACCTTTACTATGTAACCCAGCAATGCCACTCCTAGGTATTTATCCAAGAGACATGAAAACTTACAATAACAAAAAACTTGTACACAAATGTTTATAGTAGCTACATGCATAATCACCAGAACCTGGAAGAAACCTGAAAGTCCTTCAACTAGTGAATGGATAGACTATGGTACATCCATACAATGGAATACCACTCAGCAATAAAAAGGAATAAACCAACCACTGACATGCAAAAAACACAAAAGAATCTCAAATGCATTATGCTAATGAAAGAAGCCAGAGTCAAAAAGCTACATATTGTATGATTCTATTTACATGACATTCTGGAAAAAGCAAAACTATAGGGGTAGAGAACAGATCAGGGGTTTGCCAGGAACTGGGGGTAGGTGGGGAGGGCTGACTACAAAAAAGGATCACAAGGAAATTTTGAGGGGGTAATAAAACTGTTTTGTATCTTGAAGTAAATTTTATTGTATGTAAATTTAAAAATAAGTAAAAACTTTTTAAAAAAGCAATGAGGTCTTACTAGATTAGAGTCTTAAATTTTGCTGGAGCGATGCCCTGGTGTGTCACAACAACTACCTCAGCTGGACTGTGACACTAAAGTCAACAGGGGACCTGACTAATGACTCAGTCTTTTTCAAAGTTAATGTTACAATTAAGATAGTGGGAAGTGATTAGTACTTGAGTTGATTATTGTATTAGCAGTTGTGGAACATTTTAGGATTTAAAATACTATTTAGCTAAAAGGGGTAGAATCTTTTCTTTTCTCTTTGGCTCCAACTTAAGACTTGGGCTGTAATTGCTCTCATGTAAAGTGAAGAAGAAGAAAAAATGAAAGATAAAGATGTATAGAATTTCTTTCATTAAATATAATACAATTGCTTATTTCCTTTTGAGATTCATCATTAAAACTCCTACTCTGTTTTTTAAAAGGCCAGGAAAATGCATGTAAGTATAACA